CCCCCCCCCCCCCTCCCACCCGAACGTTATCGATCATACATACATTATGCGAATTAATTAGAAAGAGCTGCGGCAAGAGTTCAAGAGTCCAAGAAAAACAGTACAGAGGTACAATAGAACACGGCAGTAAATTTTCTCTCGTTTACTCCTCCTGCGTGCTACAATAAATAACATCGCAGTATTTCATGCAATCTATCGACAAAGTGTCATCCGTATTTCAAAATTCTGCCGTTAACTGAATTTTTAGGTCAATCGTTACAATACGGTGTCTACTTGCGCCTTGTAATAACGTGAGGGTGCCACCGAGCGGCTTGATAAAATTCGGGTTACATTTCACGCGTCGGCGCTTATTTGCATCGCGATTAATACCTTTATGCAAATGAATACCTGATCCGTGGCCAATTATGTAGTTGTGTCTGACCTTAACTTATGCGCATACGAGCATATATAGGTATGTGCATTCTTATTCTGCAACTTATCCGTGCATCAATCAACCTTGTGCACGTTGCGATCTTCTTTATTGATAAATTATATCTATTTCATTGTCGTAAACTGAGATATGTATGAGATCCTGTCTCGAGCGCTATCGAAACGTGAATTGTAACTCCATCCTCTCTAAATACATACATTCCTTCATAGGTACATTTATTTATTATTTCCACCTTTAGATATGTTTAAATATTGTATATATAATTACTGGATGCGTCGACACATAATTTTTTCATAATTTTTGTATAAATATTTATTACGCACTTTAGTCGTAATCATTATCGGGTTTATCAATATCTGAAAGATATTCCAGTATCACAACCAGGATTGCGATCCTACCTTTTCGGAGTCTAGAAGTGGCAAATTTTCCGTCAAACGTAAAAGCGCAAAGAGTGAAAGAGCGCAGGTCGCTCACGGCCGACCGCGAACTCAAGAAAATGAACCCAAGGTACCGAGGGTGAGCGGTAAGCGGGCTGTGAAGTAAGGCGAAACGTAGGGAGTCACGCGAAGCAACCCCCGTGAAACTGGAGGTGGCTCGAGGAACCGTACGCGGTACGTTCCCTGGCGGAATCCAGTCAGTCTGCAGAATGAAGCACGCGACGTGGCTGCTTTTTGCGTTTACCCTGCTTCTCGTCCAGAGGACCCACGTTAGCCGCGCTCAGAGGACCCATGCGAAACAGGGTCTCAATCGTGAAAATCCAACCGTTAAGATACCGGGTCAGGGAACCGTCCTCGGCAAAGAGGTGCGACACCGTGCTTCAATTTCTTTCTGTTGCTCTTAAGTTTTTTTTTATATTAATTTGCTAAGACTCGTCTCTGTTCTTCATCTCCTCTCTTCTTCATCTCGATCCATCAAGTTGACAGAGATTTAAATCTTTAGACGAAAGTCATCTATAAGTAAACAGTTTGACATCTATTAATTTGAATGTTAATTTCGCTTATTTCGCTTTTCATCTAGATTATAATGAGATCATAATTCTAAATAGAGATAAAAATGAAAATGATATCAAGTTAAATGTTTTTTCAATTTAATAAAATTTGTTGTCATTAATCTTAATTGTTAAAGTTTTGATTAAGATTGATTAAGTTTGATTTAATCCTTAAATAGAATATTTGTAAAATATTTCAATAAAATATTTATAAATAGACAGTGAATTTTTATAAGCATAATTGAGTTCAACTTCTGCAAGCGCGTAGTTTCTTTTTCTAAATTTTTGAAAACAGGAGAACACTAATTTTACAAATTTGTTTCAATTCTTTTTTCATTCCAGAACGAAGTAAATGATAAATTAAATTAATTAAAATTAGAATTTTTAGTCTTTGATAAAAACATTTCTTTCTTTATTCTACATAAACTTCTGAAATTTAGATAGCTGTCAACTCGGTAAGACTAACGCAGTATCTCGGTATCCCTTACGCACAACCTCCGCTTGGCGATCTTCGTTTCATGCGACCAGTGACAGAGCCTCTTCCTTCTTGGACCGATGTGAAAAATGCAACGCAGTTTGCGCCATCCTGTCCGCAGGCTACGGGTCAACTTAAATTGCACGAGAAGCTCTTTATGCAATTGTTATCGGACATACCAGATCCGGGATTCGACGAGAATTGTCTTTTCTTGAACATCTTCGTCCCAAGCGAAGGTATGTACGTTTATTCGTGTCCATGTGGAGAGTTGAATATATTAAATTCGATAAGTCTCCAGATAGTAAGAGTTTGTTCTCAAATAGTTTCAAATCCACTTTTTAAATATGAATTTAGATTCATTATATATGTTATTATAATTTTTGTTCAATATTATTCCCGTTTCGGGCATCAATTTTTTATTTATGTTCTCTCCATCTGGAATGCGTACAGATTTCTCTCGATAAGCGATCGCTGGAAAAGTGGGCTTAGTTTCTCGGTTAAGTTCAGACATACCATCCGAATGTAATTTAATTTTATTCTTGTTGTTCACTGAATATTAAACAAGAATCAAATGATACATGAAATCACTCGGATGGAATTTTTCTAATAACATGCTTTATTATAGGAAATTTTACTTTACTTTACTTAGGTAGATATTTTAAAGAGTTTTATTTGTCGATATTTTACGATACTAATTTTGAGTTGAGAACTTACTTAAATACTTTCAAATGAGAATCCGAGTGACCTTTAATGGCCAGGAGCACTTAAATGTCTCAGATTCGGAAAATCAAAATGTACCCTTCAAAGAATTCAGATATATCCTAATAGGAAATGACTGTTATTAGAATGCAATTTATCACGTCGCCGTTACATGATCATTACATAAAAAGCATGAAGATGGACGTTCTGTTAACACTCGATGTCTAATTGATGTCGAAATCATCGTATCGATGTCGATTTGACATCAATTCGATGAGTCATTTCTGGAATGATAAGAATGAAAGACTCAAATGTATATTTTCGTTCATTCTTACAGGCAGGCTGTTATTTTTGTGACATGAATTTTGTCTTGTCATAAATATAATTGATAGAGAAAACATTTGGCTGATAGTCCTTGATATTACAGGCGTGATATTTCTTTTCTACACTTCGACAACGTTAGGGCACGAACGAAAAACGAGCGCGGTCAACAACGAAGTTCGTTCCACAAAATAAAGCTCGCCCTTAGATTCTTGGAGACTGATTCTTATCATCCGAGAGAAAAGGGGTGATTACGGTGATTACTCGCGGGGGCGAGCATTATACCATTGCGATCAGATAAAAGTAGACCAAAGCAACAAATGAATAAGGTGCCTCGTGAAAGCCCTAGCGTCGTGCAAAGAAGATTTATCACGTCGTTGCAACATAAAAAGCATGAAGGTGGACGTTCTGTTAATACTCGATATGGTTTAACTCAGATAATTCTTCCGTGAAGTTTACTCCAAGTCACGCTTGATTGTTTTCAATCATGATTATTTCTTTCAAGGTTTTTTTTTATTTATATTGGTATCTCTACTTTTCAGAAAAGTTTAGATTGAGAATAATACGACTAGCAAAAATAAATTATTAACAAATAAAATAAAAAATATTAATAATTATGTTTATCTTAAATAGATTATAAAATATTCTTTTAATTAACTGTCCTTTTGATTATTTAAACTAAATTTAAATTAATTTAAACAGTACAGAATTAATTAAAATACGTTTATTTTAAATAGATTATAAACTGCCCTTTTAATTAACTTGATGAGTACAGAATTAATGAAGTATAAAAATATGTAGATACACCTTTAAAAAGCTCAAATATGTATATACAGAAAAAAATAACTGATAGAATGGCTGAAGCGGGATGTAGGACTGTAGACATATATTTTAAATATTAAAAAATTTCTAATTTAAAATTTTTTGCAATACAAATGTATATTTTGTGATTTGTATTTCAGCAAAGCACATGAAGGTATTACGAATTTCGTATTAAAAAATGGAAGAAAAATTTTTTGTATGTTGTAATTCAAATAATAAGATTGATCGTCAATCTTAGTACATTTGAAATACAAAATACAAAATACTTTCGACCTTTTTTTTCGTTAATATATTGAAATACAAAACCCAAGATACTTTCATGTGCTCCGTTGAAATACAAAATATATTATAATATAGTTTTCTTACAAGTAATGTTTTTCAAATAAAAGTATTTCAAATACATGTCTAAGTCCTGGCTGAATGCAAACCGAAAGCTCGCAACTTTCGCCACCGTCAAAACGAAATCGTCACCGACAAGACGCTAAACAGCGTCTCTCTCTTTCTTTCCTCCATTCGAGAAAAAAAAAGGACTGATCGCGGGACGCGAAGTCGCGAATTTGCGGCACGAAATCACGTATGACGACGACGACGACGACGACGACGACGACGACGACGACGATAGTCGAGGTCGATATATAACGTGGAGCTAGTAAGAGTAGTAACAATAACTAGCGCGCCCGCGGTGGCACGCGATCTTCCAGGGCCCCGGCCTGAGATGCGGAGATACCAGAAAGCCGGTCACGAAAGCTCGCCTTCTCGCTCTTACCCTTTCTTTTCGTTCCTTCGGTCGTCTTTCAGTGAGGAAGTCGTTGAATCGCCACGACTCGTCGTCATGAGTCATTGATTCGCGTAAGAAGCTACATCGGATACCATACTCGTACTTACGGAAGTCCCAGATCGCGTTATCGGTGCAACATTGGGGTGTGCTTGCAACCCCCTCCGCCGTTGACAATAATTTGAATGCGGAAAATACCGAAAGAAAGAAACATATGCAAGTCTGTCAAGGTCGACGCTAAGAGACCGTCGGGACGATAATGCCGGACTGAATGTCCGTGTTCAGGAAACCACAGGGGGGTAGGGAGATCTTGTACCGGTCCCCGTTATCGTAACAAGCTCGATAGGTTGGAAATAGAATCTTGGATGTGTATGCGGTGGCTTCACATAAATTCTCTTTCTCGATCTATACGACAATAGGATTATAATATGAAAAGAAACACTAAAAATTTTACTTGAATAACCTACTGTTACTGCACTCTATCTTTGGCAAAAATTCTAAGGAAATATTATCCAAGATTTTCTCCTACAAGGGGATTTTCTCCTCACGTTATTTTGATAAAAAATAATGTGAAAAGAAACACTAAAACTTTATTTGAATAGCCTACGGTTGTCACGTAGCCTATCTTTGTAATCAAGTTTTAATAAAATATTATTGTTCAAGATTTTCTTCTACACTTTTTATCTCGATAAAAATAATAGCAATGTTGAAACTTTACTCGAACAATCTATTGTTAATGCAGCCTATCCTTTAATCAAATTCTAATAAAATATTCCTCACGATTTTTTGACACTTTATTTCGATAAAAATAATCTAACAGAAGTGCTAAAACATTATTCGAATATAGTATAATAATAAAATATTATTTAAGATTTTCACTTATATTTTGCTTTAATGAAAATAATATGAAAAGAAGCATTAAAACTTTATTCGAGCTACTACTGATTATATCACAGCCTATTTTTGCCGCAGTTAAGTTTTAATAAGATATTATTCAAGATTTCCTTCTACTTTATTTTGATAAAAAAGACGTTTACAGTCTAAAGTCATGAGGTCATAAAATAAAAGATATTAGATTCGTTAATATTGCTTTTATCTATTTTCGTTAATACTTACGAAACCTTTAAAAGGTATAGATCATAGATCAGACCTTGTCTGGATACCGAGTATGATTCAGCTTGCGTGAGGCTCACAATAAAATAAAAACCTTCTTACCAATATAACATCCCTCTTTCGGTAGATTGATAGTTAACGAATATTTCATGTGCGTAGGAAACCGTCAGAACGACCAATGGCCAGTGATGGTTTGGTTCCATGGTGGCGATTTCAACACTGGAACTCCAGCAATCTGGGACGCCTCTGTATTCGCTTCCAAGCAAAAGGTGCGACATTGCATTACGCGGAATACTTTGCAAAACGACCAGAATCTAAGATTGAAATTAACGTGACCCGGTCAGCGATCGAATCAATACCGATACAATCACGATATCTATGGGAAGAGAGAAAGAATGATTAACGTGTATTTTTAACGGTGTTCAATCAATTCTCTGGACATTTACTGAGCGGACGTAAAATCGAAGAGAATCGAATCAGACCGAGCCTTTTCCTTTTCCTCATCTCGCGTGCTGTTACTTCTAGAACCGCACCCTTTGATATTCGCCCGCGATACATTATTAATGGAGCTTTCGTTATACATCTGACGGAATGTACATAATGCGGTATCGTTTACGGCTCTCAGGAACAATTCACCGCAGGGAAAAAAAGAGAATTGATCGCTTGCGTGGCACAAATTACGAAACTAAAATAAATCTTGAATCTTTCGGTGACGATTACTGGTGAGATTTTATCGCGCGCACGCTTAAAAAAAAAAACGCAGAGAAAAGCTTTAACAATCCGCGAGATTAAACAGGGGCGACTTTTGCGGCCGGCAGGTGCTAGTGGTGACGGTGGCGTATCGATTAAACATCCTCGGATTCTTCACGACGACGGACTCCGAGGCGTCCGGTAATTATGGCATGTTCGATCAAATCGCCGCCCTTGACTGGATAAAGCGAAACATCAAATCCTTCAACGGCTCGCCCAGTAATATTGTCATCTTTGGCCACAATTCCGGTGCCATAAGTGTAGGACTGCACATGCTGAGTCCTCTCAGTAACGGGAAATTCCATAAGGCGATTGCTATGAGCGGGGATGCCATCAGTTCTGTTGGCACGCTAGAAAGAGAGAAGCCGATCGTCGACATTATAACTAATAAATTCGGTTGCGATCGACGACCGACCAGCAAGCTGATGGAATGCCTGCGCCGACTATCAGCCGATTTCTTAATCAAGCACTCATCTGACATCGAGAGCTGGGGCCCGATCGTCGACGCAGAAATCATCAACGAGACAGACCCATTTCTTACGCAACATCCGAGAGACATCTTGGAAAATGGTAATGATAACGTTATATGACTTTCTATAGTCATTAAAAGTCTTTAAAAGATAAGCGGAGATATTTAAAAAACATCATATTGAGCTTAAGATCTTTTTTTTTCTTATTGTAAAACTTCGTTTTATATTTTGGCACTAATGTTTACTTCTATCAATGCAGATTAACTTTAATTACGATTTAATTGACTTTTTATCTTTTTTTTTTTAATTTTGAGGATTAGAGAAAGATAAAAAATAAATTAAACCGAGATTGGCGTTAACATTGGTAGAAATAAACACAAGGGAAAATCTTAGTATTGATTTAAAAATACTCGAAGTATGTTCAAATGTTTTTTTGTTCTCTAAAAGTTTATTTGAATTCTTTGCAATATTCTTTCAGACATCCTTTCGATCTTTATATTTCTTTCGATATAATTTAAATTTTCCTTAAACTTTAATAAAACAACGAATTAGGTAACTTCAATGCGGTGCCGCTAATGGTCGGCTACACGAATAACGAGCAAGTTTTGGCGTACATGGAGGTCATCGGTGATAAGAATCCAGAGGGTGGACTTTCTTCGGAGAGCTTCGAGACGATGATCACAGACGAGTTCACAGCGGCAGTGGAGATCTCAGATGACAACAGCACGTGTGAGTCGAAGCCAGAGATGGTGGCAAACGCGGTGTTATTCTTCTACAAACCATATCCAACCACGACAAACATGACGGTGTTCCGCGACAGATATTTGGACCTGCAAACGGAAAAGAATTTCGCGGCTGGCCTGACACAATTAGCCGATAAAGTGGCGAAGCAAAAATCGACGGCTTTCGTATATCGGTTCGACTATCGTCCCAAGACGCAACCGGTCGCGAAGGACGTGCCGGAATGGGCCGGTGTACCGCACATGTTCGAGCTCCCATTCGTTTGGGGTTTACCGCATATGATGGGCGTCGGTGCGACGCAATGGAACTTCAACGACAAAAGGATGTCCGAGTCGATGATGACGATGCTGGCGACGTTCGCCAAAACCGGGGATCCTTCCTTCGTGGAGAGGACAGTATCGGTCAAGTGGGAGCCCTATACACAGGATAATCCGAGAATTCTGATCATCGATAAAAATATCGAGATGAACGAGCCGGGCGCAGTGGATTACAAGGCGCTCGCATTCTGGAATGAATATTATCCGCAGATCATGATGGAGGCGACGAACAATTGTTGCAACGTTACAAGCACGGCGACGACATGGAGGATATTCTCTCATAGCGTGTGTCTCAGCGGCGTGATGGCTACGGTGGCGTTTCATCGCTTTGGGTTCTAGCTACGATCACAGCGTGAAATATTAAATACTGAATTTAAAAAAAAAACGTGTTATTGCGCTCGCTGTTGTATATTTTTAATAGACCAATAACGAAAGAAAATGAGACGGCGTTGTCGGATTTTGCAATTTTATAACAAGATCTCTTCCCACTCTACTTTTTAGAAGCAAACGCAGTAACAGTCTTGTTATACTCTTGTAGAATACATATCTCGCGAAATTCGCATCTTCTTGTGTAAATAGATTCGTACGTTTCGCGATTGTTTCACAATTGTTGTACGCATTTAATTGAGATTTCACGCACTCGTATGTCTGTATCTATTGCAATATGGTATTAGTAAATTTTCCTATGTTCGCATTTGTTATCTCAATTACATTGCGTATATCACAAAGTTATTTTATTCCGTTCTTCTTATCTTACATGTTACTTGATGTAGATTTATACGAAACAAGGAGAAATTATCTACAGTAATCAGGTAAACGGCAGAACATAGTTCACAAACGAGACAAAGGGGGCTCGGAATGAAATAAAATGAAATCCAGGTTGCATTACAAGAGTAGGAAACTTGGGCCCTTTTTTTTTAACATTCATTGATTTTTTTATTTGCCTTAATACGGAGAGATATAGAAAAACATACTTTGTTTGAGAAACAAACAGTTCGATAACTTATGAATATTTTGATGATCCGATAATAATAATTAATATTAATAATAATAGCAATAATGTTCAAGTACCATCTATGTATAATTATTATATTATATAAGAGAGAGAGAGGTGCGCGGCGAGAGCGCGATGCATGGGGGCTGGTGGCCTGCGCACGCGCACGTCCACAAACGTTTCTTTTTTTCTTATCTCTTCCTTTCTCCTAAATATATACTATTAATTAATCATTTTCCCCTTCATTTATTCATGCAAAATTCCTACAGTGATAACCGATGCTTGCGGGGTCTCGTATCCTACTTTGTGCGCCGTTGCTTGCGCGTGCACACGAGCCATCCCGGAACCAATGTTATATACAATATTTCTTTCCGTTTATCGCTGCGTTCCTTTGCACGTATCTCTTCGTTCTTCGCTCCGCTGCGTAACCTTGTGCCCTTATATGCCCTTATTCTCCCGTCTCTCTACCATCGTCTTACAACCATTCGGATTTCAGTACCGTAGACTCCCGGTTCTACTGTTCGCCTAATATTCCGTCAGCCCCCTCCTCCTCTTTTGTCATTAGTATCTTCCTTGTTTTATAACCGCTCCGGTCCTTTTTTTTAATCCACTGGTATCCTCGGATTTTCATGTAGGAGAATATGGGCTCCGCCACATATACCTTACAGAAGTAGGCACAGCGATTTTTTCTTCTGCTTCATCTTCTTCTCTGGCGATTTCTTGTTTATTTGTCGCACCAGGTCGTAGAAAATCTGAAAGCGAAAGATGACAAGTTGTTAAAACTTGACTGCGTCAGCTATTTATCAATTAGAATACAACATTATTAGCATTGTACAGAGTATTGCGAGCTAATTACTTTTATTAAAAGACAAAACGAGTGATGAGATTGTAAAATACGACTATATAAAATGTTTAAATCGGAATAAATGAAATTGAATCACAACTCACATCGCGAACATTAATTTTAGCTTTGGCAGAGGTCTCCATAAACACGCAATTGAATTGCCGGGCAAGGTTGACACCCTGATCCTTTCCTACTACCCTCTCATCCTCCAGGTCGCACTTGTTACCTACTAGCACCATCGGCACATCATCTGTGTCCTTTACTCGCAAGATCTGTTCTCTGAGGTCTTGCAGGTCGTTGAAGGTTGATTGTGCTGTTATCGAATACACTAACACGAAGCCCTGCCCGTTTTTCATATAAAGGTCCCTCATGGCTGTGAATTGTTCCTGCGAACAAGAATATGATAACGTCACTCAAAAATACAATCCGTATTGTTACAATCATAAAATGAAAGAGAAAGTTACGCGACGCGTTAAGAGATAAATGAAACAACGTGTCTTTATGTTACTTCATAAAAACTTCCACATTACGTGAAATAAAACGAACAGTAAAGAAAGAAAACAAGTCAAAATTAACACTCAGGCTAAAATAAATAAAATCAATTTCTCGTCTAACGGTATATATCCGCGTATTCGAAATAAAGAAACAGCAGATATGTGTTAAGAGGGAAGATACTTACCGTGCCGGCTGTGTCTAGAATTTCTAACATACATTGTTGACCGTCGACCTCGACTTGCTTGCGGTAACTGTCCTCGATCGTCGGGTCATACTTCTCTACGAAGATTTCCTGAACAAACTGGACAGTGAGGGCGGACTTGCCTACACCTCCACTGCCCAGCACCACTATTTTATATTCGCGCATCTCCTTGCCCTACCTACTGCCTATGGGCCTGATCACAGTCGAGGGGTCACCGAATCCGCCACGTTTTGCCTTGATTTGCTCTCAGTGAGACGGACCTGAAACAACAATAAGCAATCGTCTAGTTAGAGGCCGTGAACATTACACAATGGGTTAATTTTAATGACACACCTTCTTCGGGACGACTCAGCCTTTATGACTCAATGCTTTTTATGCGGTGATTTCATGCGAAGTAGAACAGAGGTCATATATGCGATTATGATAAATTACCAGGATCGTTATATGATATGTATAGGAAGGCAATCATGTTCTTCCGTGAAGAATAATAATCTCCGCAATTTCTAATATTATATCGGTCAAGGACTCGTTTCGTTAAATAGAAAAAGAGAGCTATTCATAAAGATATATTGAGAGAAAAGTGTTCGATATCTGTGACTATAATTTGTGTTTATAATTGCGTGATTAAATAATTATAGTTAAAAGCTTTATTTATGGTTATCATTATTATAACGTTAGAGTAATAATAATTATATTTAAAGTTCTATGTTGTACAAAAATAATATATAATTGACATTGTAAATGACTAATTATAGTCATTTATGATGCCAGCTATATATTTTTTTGTATATCATGAAAATAAACATTTAATAAATATAATAATAAATATAAATTTAATAAATATAAACATTTAATAAATTCTTTGTATTTAATTTTTTTAAGAAAATGATTCAATTTTATGCCTTTTTATACAACATTATTTTATTGTATCTTGAAGCGCACCGTTATAATTTTAAATTTGGATTTTATGCTGCGCGATCTCATGGCAAGTTTCCTTTTTCAGGCTACTGCTTCTTAAAGCTGAAAGCTGCTGATATCATGCAAAATTCCGACATCCGGAAACGGAAGCGGTATAGTTAATTGTTTCACGGAAAAGTAGTAGCATTTGCTCCACAAAGTCACGCGTTACTCCCCTTGTCGTGTTTTGCTTCGCTGAAGAGCGTTGTTTCACGCGACGAATGGCAGAGTAAGAGAGAAAACGCGAATACCGCGAATAGGACGTTTATTGGTTAACGGTGGCATCATGGCGACGTGCTGCGGCCAATCGACAACCGCAGAATTCTTTGCGCCAATTCGTCATTGATTTTACCTTATGAATGGACCTGTACAATGAAAGCTGCTGCTACTCTAGGACTTTCGTTGGAACGTTACGGTGTTTGATAAAGTTACCTCGAAAGACGTAACTCCTAAAATGAATTTAAAATTGTATAACAATAAACTACTATCGACATCTTTTACGTGTGAATTTCGAACAAAATTTCTAAAAACTGCACACCGCATTGTCAGATTTCGTTTGCGTTTCTACAATTTCAAACAATTAAAAAAAAAATTTTATTCGACCTTTGTATTTTTCGATTACTGTTTACATACATGTATGATACATCGAACG